CACACACACACTCTCTCACACACACACACACACACACACACACTCTCACACACACACACATGACGCGTCACTCTGCGCTGCCCAAAACTCCGCATTTGAACAGTCACTAGCAAATACTTGAACTAATAACAAAACGTACTTACAGTCGCTGATTCAGAAGTGCCAGATTGTCATAGCAAAGTGGGAATTCTGTTGTAAATAAATCTTAACCAATGATTCCTTATTGCATCTACTTCCAGAAGGCCAAATAAAGTGTTTTTGCTTTCGCACTGAAACACAGCATCTCCCTGACATGTTGCATCAACACTACTGCTGTTCCTGAAACCACGCCGCCTTTATTTGCGTGCACATTTGTGCGGCATTATGCAAATCTTCCCACATAGTGATGTAGATATGTGGGGGCGTGTTAGAACAAGTCGTTTTAGGAGGGAGTGGCTGACTCTTAACTTTTATAAAGAATATCTCTTTGGTTTTGAGACTTTAGTCTTTGCAACTTTACAGATCTTCTTTATGCACCAAGAGCTTGTAACACTCCAAAGAGAAAGGAAAACTTGAAATCGCGTCATATGACCCCTTTAATCAAAACTAACACCGTGCAAACAGGATGAAATTAAGAGATGCAAATAAACAGAATATAACTTGTTTGCCTTAAATCAAGTTTGCATCTAATATATCATGTCCTGATGTCTCCTGCTCTCGTGTTTATCTGTGAAAGTAAATATTCAAGGTCAATAAAGAGCAAGATCAGGAGAAACTGCAGACGCAGTGACAAAGCACAAGCCCTCTGGGTGAATTCTGATACGAAACATCAGCGTTTGGCTGCGGATCTGAAAACCCGAGAGCATTGTTCTCTCAGAAGCTCAATGACTGTGATTTTGTTTCCTCCGCAGGCGACGTGTTACCTGAAACAGGGCAAATTCAAAGACGCAGAGACGCTTTACAAGGAGATCCTGACCCGCGCGCATGAGAAAGAGTTCGGATCTGTCAACAGTATGTATTTACACACGCATAGAGATCATATATTCATATTTGTTTTATGTGAATTTCGTTAGCCTTTTTATGTTAATCATGCGTTTTGCTAAGAATGCACACGTTTTTGTTTGCATCTCCATTAGTTTTTGTCAGGATGGCATCCGAGTGAGAGGTTGTGTCTAATCTGTTATGACATCACAGGCTTTTAGCCAATCAGACGCTTACAGGTTTACATCCACCTGCTCTTCCTAAAGGCACAGCAAGCTCATTAGAGTAAAAAAAGGAAGACTTGCCACTCAGTGTCTGATGCCATGCAGGGAAAGCTGCTAGAAAAAAAACAGTGGTAATATTGAATTAATCACAAAAAAAAGTCAACACTTTTTTTTTTTTATGAGAATTATTTTTTCCCCCACAGATGATAATAAACCAATCTGGATGCATGCAGAGGAAAGAGAAGAGAGCAAGGTATTATAGGCTTTATATTATTTAAATTTATTTATAATAAATACATGTATTTATATTTATGTATACATATATTTAAATGTAAATATTTGTATAAATGTATTTATTTAAATGTAAAAACATTTGTATATTTACATTACCGTTCAAAAGTTCGGGTCAGTGAGATTTTTATTGTTTTAAAGAAATTTATATTTTTATTTAGAAAGGATGCATTAAATTGATCTAAATTGCCAGTAAAGACATTTATAATGTTAGAAATAAGTTATATTTCAAATAAATGCTGTTCTTTTAAACTTTACATTCATCAAAGAATCCTGAAATAAAAATGAATCACGATTTACACAAAAACATGAAGCAGCACAACTATTTTCAACATTGATAATAAGAAATGTTATGCATATTATTATGATTTCTGAAGGATCGCGTGACACTGAAGACTGGAGTAATGATGCTGAAAATTCAGCTTTGCGTCAAAGAAATAAATTACATTTTAAAACAAATTCAAATAGAACACAGCTATTTTAAATTGTAATAATATTTCACAATATTACTGATTTGTACAGTATTTTTGACCAAATGAATGCAGCCTTGCTGAGCAGAATCTTCAAGCAAATTAAAAAATCTTAAACGATAATGTGCATATTTTATGTATATTAAATATAATGTATGTCTATATCTACTTAACCTTGTTAATAAACATATCTATGTTAATGATATTTAAGCAATAAGACATTACTTTTATATAACACTAAACAAAATAAATGTTTCCAATTTATTTTCTTCTGAACAAAAATTTAGTGTGGTCTTCTTTTATTTATTTATTTTGTACCAGTTTTCATATTTCTAATGCTCTCATTTCATTATATTTAATCTATGTGTTTAAGATGTCTTCATTGCTGTGTGAATTCAGTTTGTCTGATGGTCATTTCCAGGGTAAGAGGAAGGACTCGGGTCTGTACGGCAGCTGGTACAAAGCCTGCAAAGTGGACAGGTGAGTGTGCAGGTGTGCCTCCGAGGATCCTGGGTATCAGAGTGTGGAGGAATCAGAGTGACTCTCTTAATGTTTCTCTCGTGTAGCCCCACTGTTAACACCACGCTGAAGAGTCTGGGCGCGCTGTACCGCCGGCAGGGCAAACTGGAGGCTGCCGAGACGCTGGAGGAGTGTGCAACCAAAAACCGCAAACAGGTACTGCATGCATGCTGATTTCCTACCTGATGCTCGACCTATAAACTCAAGGTCGACTTCCTGTGCAGATGACTCGTACAGGAAGAGAACGATGTTAAAGATCACCTCACTGACTCTCTATGCGTTTTCTCTTACCTTACTCAACTAAATTAAACCTTACCTTACTTAAAGGGATACTCCACCCCAAAATGAAAATTTTTGAAAATATAAGATATTTGGATGAAATCTTGTGACTGTCCCATTGACTGCCAAGTAACTTGCACTGTCAAGGTCCAGAAAAGTGTAGGATATCAGACCGAATCAGACAATCTAAGATTTGGTCAAAACCGAGTTGAGGCACGAGGAGTCACAAAAATTCCACAGAGGCCCAAGACAACAGGATGTCATAAATCAGACCCTAGCCTCTCTGAAGCAAGCCTAAACCTAAACCAATTTTAACCTCATTGAGGAATTCAGTGCGAGGGTTAATTAAGTGATTGATGGTTGTTCAGATCTATACAATGGCACATATTGCTGTAACTTGGGATTTCACATTTTCATTCTCTTAAACTAATTATTTTCCTCACTTTCTCTCTTTCTGCAACTTGTGTGTGAATGCGTGTGTTAGATTAGTTTATATGTCTTAGATTTATCCAATAAAGCCTTATTTATATGGAAAAGAGAAGTATCTTGTGTTTTGTGCTCACAAGTTAATGTCTTAAACTGCCGATCTTGTTACTATGCTAATTAATAGTGTTTTCACTATATTTTGGATATTGATATCCATTGCAGAATTGCTGTCATACGGCTCGCTCACTGAATCGCTGGCCGTCTCAGTGATCAGCCGTAAAACAGTGATTCTGTCCTAATTCCCTTGCATATTAATGGTGGAGTTCCCTTTAAAATCTTAAATGATTCCCTTTGAGCTAAATTATTGACCTGTTTCCCTTACAAAAATATGAAAGACATCGTCAGAATAGTCCATCTGCCATCAGTGGTTCAACCGTAATGTTATGAAGCGACGAGAATATCCACTGAACGCAAGCAGCGTACGCTCTTCTGTGTCAGCCGCGACACAAGGATACGTTTTCTACGTGTATTTACTCTTTGATTTGAAGGAAAACAGCGCATCCGTGCAGCGCGGCTGTCACCGAAGAGCATGCGCTGCTTGCGTTCAGCGGTTATTCTCCAAAATAGCGATACGGTGATGCGAAGAGACACAGAGGAGACGAATTGTTGAATAAAGTCGTTATTTTTGTTTTCTTCGCGTACAAAAAGTATTCTCGTCGCTTCATAACGTTACGGTTGAGCCACTGATGGCAGATGGACTTTTTTGATGATGTCTTTCATACTTTTCTGGACCTTGACAGTGTCATTTACTTGGCAGTCAATGGGGACAGTCACAAGCCTCCCGGATTTCATCCAAAATATCTTAAATTGTGTTCCGAAGACGAACGAAGCTTTTACGAGTTTGGAACGACATGGGGGTAAGTGGTTAATGACAACATTTTCATTTTGGGTTGGAGTATCCCTTTAAATTCAAACTAAAGTGAATTTATTGCTTATTTTAATTGACTGACAACTCTAGAAATAACACCACAACATTGTGAAAGCTGGTGAAATCGACTCGTTCTGCTTGTCAGGGCATCGATGCGATTAATCAGAGTAAGGTGGTGGAGCTGCTGAAGGACGGAGGTTGTGCCGGAGGAGACAGACGTCAGAGTCGGGACGGAGTAAATGGCCCCGGAGGCCCCCGAGGAGACTGTGAAGGAGACGAAGCCGAGTGGAGTGGGGTCAGTGGAGCCCGCAGAGCCTTTGTTTTTATTTATATGTGACCCTGGAGCACAAAACCAGTCATAAGGATCAATTTTGTGAAATTGAGATTTATGCAGCATCTGAAAGCTGAATAAATAAGCTTTCCATTGATGTATGGTTTGTTAGGATAGGACAATATTTGGTCGAGATGCAACTATTTGAAAATCTGGAATCTGAGGATGCAAAAAAATCTAAATATTGAGAAAATCATCTTTAAATTTGTCCAAATGAAGTTCTTAGCAATGCATATTACTAAACAAAAATTAAGTTTTAATATATTTATGGTAGGAAACTTACTAAATATCTTCATGGAACATGATCTTTACTTAATAGCCTAATGATTTTTGGCATAAAAGAAAAATCTATAATTTTGACCCATACAATGTATTTTTGGCTATTGCTACAAATATACCCCAGCGACTCAACACTGCTTTTGTGCTCCAGGGTCACATATGTAGTTTATATTTATATAAAAGTTTAGAATAATTGTTGCAATGTTTCTGAAAGAAGTCTCTTCTGCTCAGCAAGGCTGCATTTATTTGATCAAAAATACAGAAAAAACTGTAATATTGTGAAATATTATTACAATTTAAAATAAAGGCCCCGAACTGATGTGACATTTTGAACAAAATCATGCCAAAACGAAGTTCGTTTTGTTAGTTTTGGGAGTTTGAAATGGCTTGCTGGCTCACCAGTTGTAAATAAATATTATTTATTATAAATGTGTTTTCTTTCACTTTATGATTAATTTATTGCATGCTTGCTGAATAAAAGTATTCTTTTTAATCTATTTTTAATTTATTTTTTTACTTACCCCAAACATTTGAACGGTAGTGTATCTGCAATTATGCATTTTCCATAAAGAAAATTGGACCATTAATTTTGTTCTTTGCATTGCCACATTAAGGCACATTTTTTCTCCAATTTCAAATGACATATATATATATATATATATAGCTATGGAGAGAGGGGTATGCATATATATATACACCCCTCTATCTGTAGCTATACATTTAAAAACCCAAAATTCATCATTGAAATATAATTTATTTGACATGCAGTCATTTTGTTTGTTACAGCAATACATTATTGAGAATTTAGGGTTTAAATGTGCTTATTTGTCGCAATGCTTAAATGTGCTTGATTTTCTTTCAAAATATTCTTAGTTGAATGCAATTCTCCAATTGTATTGTTTTGCGGTGAAATATAACACAAGCTTGTCCTTGGGCAGGTTTTGTGAGATTTTCTCGAATAGAATGTATTGCAAAAAGTCACCAATGCGTTCATGCTGATGATTACGTTTCATTAAGCTGAACAAAGATAAGGGTTCTAGAAAGTGAGAAAACAAAGTGATGAAAATTATGAAGTTGGAGCAAGGAATTGGAGCGATAGATATCAATGTCATTATTGATTGTAAGATACTGATTTTTTTGACTCACGACCACAAAAACACACACTTGTGTAAGTTATCCTCCTCATGCTTCTAGCACAGACAGGTGTGTAGTTTATTAATGCCGTGTTTACACCACTTATGAATGTGAACCCACCTCTGGCTGTGTTTGTCATGATTTCTGATGATTTCTGATGCCTTCCTCTCACCACATTAGATTGTGCTGCAGTTACACAGGCTGCCCTTCTGCACTGATCTGGGAACAGCGCCCCCTGTCTTAGTCAGAAATCGTAGCGTTGTTAGAAGGAGCCTGTGGCGTCCCCAGATCAGCTGTGAAGGGAAGCGTCTAGCAGCTGTTCCTCAGATATGCTTCACTTGTGAAGGAGCCAGCCTCATGTATGCTTTAATAAACGGTTCGGAATAAACTCTGCTTTTCAAACCAAAGTAATGTTTTCATGTGTCTTAATTATGTCGGCTTGACAGCCGAAGAAAATATCGTTCTGTCTATCTGTCTGTCTATCATTATTTATCTGTTGGTCTGTCTGTCTATCTATCGTTCTGTCTTATAATTCTGTTTGCCATTCTGTCTATCTATATCTGTCTGTCTGTCTGTCTACCTATCTATCTATCGTTCTATCTATATCTACCTATCTGTCTGTCTACCTACCATCTGTCTGTCTGTCTGTCTACCTTCCTATCTATCTATCGTTCTATCTATAGCTACCTATCCATCCATCTATCTATATCTGTCTAACTATCTATCGTTCTATCTATATCTACCTATCTGTCTGTCTACCTTCCTATCTATCTATCTATAGCTACCTATCCATATATCTGTCTGTCTGTCTATCTATCTATTTATCTATATCTGTCTTGTCTGTCTACCTATCTATCGTTCTATCTATATCTACCTATCTGTCCATCTACCTACCTACCTATCTATATTGTGCTATCTATCTATCTACCTACCTATATCGTTCTATCTACTGTTCTATATCTATCTATCTACCTACCTACCGTTCTATCTATCTACCTACCTATATCGTTCTATCTACTGTTCTATATCTATCTATCTACCTACCTACCGTTCTATCTATCTACCTACCTATATCGTTCTATCTACTGTTCTATATCTATCTATACCATTCTATCTATCTACCTACCTACCGTTCTATCTATCTATCTACCTACCTACCTATATCGTTCTGTCTACCGTTCTATCTATCTACTGTTCTATCTATCTACCTACCTATCTATCTACCTACCTATCTATATCGTTCTGTCTACCGTTCTATCTATCTACCTACCGTTCTATATATCTACCTATCGTTCTATCTATCTACCTATCGTTCTATCTATTGTTCTATCGTTCTTTCTATCTACCTATCATTCTATCTATCTACCTACCATTCTGTGTGTCTGTTTCTCCATCCATCCAGAAGAGAAAACTCCCTAATTGTTCAAAAGTTATTAGTTCTGCCGCTCAGAGTGTTTTTTGGTTAATATCAGAGTTTGGAGTTGGATCTCTGTAGCACAAGACAAAGTTCAGTGATTCAATACATATTTGCACAAAATAAAACTGAAAGTACTCCTTGTGTAGGCTAAAGAGATGTTGACCCCAGTGCTGCCATATTTGCCTTGAGTTTCCTACAGTTTTAAAGTTCATCAGATAATGTTTGGTGGGCAGCACGTCAGACCCACACGTCACATACAGAAACGCTGAAGTTTGAGCATCAACTTCCTGTCTCAGCTGCCTGTCGTTCGTCTGCTGAAGCTCTCACACAAGGAAACCAGAGCAGTGGCAGAAGTGTCTGAAACGGGGCTGCGAAATGTGCTAGTTTGAACACACCAATGTGAAGAAAATGGCTGCCAACTCAAACCACCGCCCAAAAAGCGTTGACATCAGTTATGTCTCTGGTAAGTTCCTCTTTCGGAGCTTGACTATATTAAACTTTAATCTTAATGTTAATCTAGGCAGGTTAATGCTAGTTTCAGTTGTTGTCTTGCACTTGAAGGAGCCTTTGGGGTCCTTCAAACACCAAAGCCTTTAAAGACTGTCTGATGATGATATGTGCATAATAATAAACCAATTAGTGGAACAATTATTGCAGTAATGCTATAGAACAGTTGTACAATTACAAGACGCTTCGAGAAACACCAGGATGGGTGCAGGTAAGTTGTGTTGAACCTGTGAATGTCTAAAGGAGTGCCGTTTGATCGGAGTTAACGCTCTCTTTCTCTCAGGTTCTTTCTCTCAGCTGTCCATGGGGCCCCAATCCTCTGCACAGGGGCCCATATGTGTCCACTTTCAGATCGGGCTCCTCAAAGAGGACGTACGGATCCCTGAGGGACACCTCAGCTTCCAGCAGGCGAAGCATCTCGCAGCCGAAATCATTGAGAGAAAGGTACTGCAGAACTTCAACTCTTGAGGCGTAGTTCTTATTGAGACTGCGACGTTTAAACTTTAAAGAAATAGTTCACAATAAATCTTGCCCGCTATATTTGAGTGAATGGGCAGTCGAGCTCAAAAAGCACTATAAAAGGAGTTTGTGCATTATAATCAGTGCTGGGTCGATTACTTACAAATGTAATCCGTTACTGATTACATGATGAAAATTGTACTTAGAAACGAAATTACTAATTTTAGGTGTTTTCTGACTACTTATTTTAGATTACTTTTAGGTGGGTCTGTGAGTTAGCTAATAATTAAATCATAAAATGTTTAAATAAAAATAATTTAAACAGTTCAACACTGAAAATAGAAATGTATTATTTGTTTACCTGCATGTCAATGTAACCATTGACCAACATCCGAGAACTGTCAACATGAAAATGTGTTGTTCAATTATTGAAATATTAACTTCCTCTGAGATATTTCAAGTAAATATGTTATGTCTAAGGGGTTTGGCTGACAAAAAAGATTTGCATTATCTGAACAAACATCAATAAATATGAAAACCGCAATGACATTACATGCCAAAAGTCTTCCAGGTTTGAATAATATGTAATCATGTAATCCATAAAAAAGTAACTGTAATCTGATTATGAGCATTTTAAAATTTAGTATACTCTAATTACAAGTACCTAATTTTGTAATCTGTAATGTACCCAGCACTGATTATAATACAAGACAATACAATACAATAGCTTTGAATGCTGAAAATAATTTTACTCATCATAAATGTTCAAATATGTTCAAATACGTCACACAAATGTCAAATCTGGTGCAACACGTTCTGATGCATCTTGTTTGAATGCATGTGAAGATTTAAGAGCTACGTTTTATATCGTTTACAATTTAAATTTAGGTACACTTTGGATAAATGATGACAGAATTTACATATTTGGTCAACTTTTCCTGTATGTGTTTGCACATTCATGCAGTGTCAGTCAAACACCCACTCTAATAACCGCATTACTGACAATGTCTTCAGTGAAGGCTGCTTTCCACAGTCAAAAGGTCAAGCGCACACAGACAATCCATACAAACCACTGCAACACACTATTGCTAGGACTATTGTCTCTCTCTCCAACAACAACAAAAGCACCTTTTCATTGCCTTCAGCCTTTCAGTTTTAAATAGGAACGTTAGCAGGACCCACAGGTTCATCAAACATACTGCATCTTCTGCCTTTAGTGCATTAAAAGTTTAAACAATGATTGGTTCACAACAGGTGCCTAAAAAACAAACATGCAGTCTGAGTTCACTTTCAACAGATTGTGAAGTCCATGAATATTGACTGTCATATGCTCATTATTATCAGAGATTTTAGGTGGTTGTTAGGCTGTTGCTATGAGGTCCTTAAGTTGCTCAGAGGTAGTTTTAGCAGGTTGCCAGGTTGTTCTGGGTGGTTGCTAGGTGGTCACTAAAGTGCTCAGAGTGTTTTAGGTGATTGCAGTGCAGTTTTGGTTGTTCTGGGTGGTTGCTAGGCTGTTGCAATGTGGTAACTAAGGTGCTCAGAGCATATTAACAGATAGCTGTGCAGTTTTGGTTGTTCTGGGTGGTTGCTAGGCTGTTGCAATATGGTAACTAAGGTGCTCAGAGCATATTAACAGATAGCTGTGCAGTTTTGGTTGTTCTGGGTGGTTGCTAGGCTGTTGCTATCTGGTCGCTATGTTGCTCAGAGTAGTTTTAGCAGATTGCTAGTTGCCAGGTTGCTCTGGGAGTTTGCTAGGCTGTCGCTAAAGTACTCAAAGTGTTTTAGCAGATTGCAGTGCAGTTTCGATTGTTCTGGGTGGTTGCTAGATTGTTGCTATGTGGAAACTAAGGTGCTCAGAGTGTATTGCCAGATAGCTGTGCAGTTTCAGTTGCTAGGGTGGTTGCTAGGGTGTTGCTATGTCGCTCAGAGTAGTTTTAGCAGATGGACAGTTGCCAGGTTGTTCTGGGTGGTTGCTAGGCTGTTGGTGGTCGCTATGTTGCTCAGAGAGTAGTTTTAGCAGATTGTCAGGTTGTTCTGGGTGGTTGATAGGCTGTTGCTATGTGGTCGCTAAGGTGCTCAGTCACAGTAGTTTTTAGCAGATCAGTGAACAGACGCCAGGTTGTTTTGAGTGGTTGGTAGACTGTTGCTATGCGATAACTAAGGTGCTCAGAGTAATTTTTAGCAGATTGCCGTGTAGTTGCCAGGTTGTTTCAGGTCGTCGCTAGGCTGTTGCTATGCGATAACTAAGGCGCTCAGAGTGTTTTTAGCAGATCACTGTGCATTGGCCAGGTTGTTCCGGGTGGTTGCTAGGCTGTTGCTATGCGATAACTAAGGTGCTCAGTCAGAGTGTTTTTAGCAGATTGCCGTGTAGTTGCCAGGTTGTTCCAGGTGGTTGCTAGGCTGTTGCTCGGCGATAACTAAGGTGCTCAGAGTGTTTTTAGCAGATCACTATGCGGTTGCCAAGTTGCGATAACTAAGGTAGTTGCTAGGCTGTTGCTATGCACAACAGTAAGTATGATCAATATTAATGCTTGTCTTAGGGTTTTAACCTTACAATTTTTTTTAATTATTTGAAGAATTCACACCTCTTTGTTTCTGTGAAAGAAGGGGAAGTTAAAGAGAGTGTGTGTCAAGATGCTACTGAATTAGGTGCTACTCAAACATTCACACACACACTCATCAGTAACTCAGCCCTCCTTCAGCATCTCTCCCCCTCCGGCCGCCTCTCTGTTTGTCCGCTGTGGTTCACAGCATCTGCATGTAACTTTCCAACCACAGACTCTTCCCCTAACACACTCACTCACACACACACACACACACACACACACACACACACACTGTTTCTCTGCTTGACCTTCTTATGGTGCCGTTTCCACTGCAGTGGGACAGGATCATCTCACACACACACACACACAAACACACTGACCTTCATTGGATACACTCCCATATACACACACATGAACGCTAACTGATCTCACCTAACGTCATTATACATTAGAGACATGCACATACGCACATGCATACTTTACAGTATCAACAGTTTACTATAAATAGTATGGGAATCGTATTGTGTATTACGATAAATGTTAATATTTTTACATGACCTCATTACATTGCATGTTTATTATCAGTTGTCTCAGAAATACGGTTATATGAAAATATTGTTATTTTAATTATGGTTTAAAAATGTTGCACTTCCTTCTCTTTTTGTTTTTATAAAAGCATCTTAGATCCGAACACAAAATCAAGGGGAAATAAATAAAACATGGTTAGCGGTTCATTGCAAATGTAAGGTCAAGTCAAGTGCATTGCATTGCATTGTGGGATGCAGTTGTGTGCAGTGTTATACTGCACATTTTGGAAAATTACATTTAGGGGACTGTGATGGCATTGTGGTTGGTCCCCAATTATTTTTTGGTTTCATGCAATTCAATTTTTGTTAAAAAATTGTTCATATCTATATCTATAAAGAGTTTTGACCTGAAAAAAGGGTTGCAGAATAGTTGCTAACTGAACCAGGGTTTCACTAGACCCTTTTTACTAGGGCATGAGCTTCAGTAAAATACTGCTGTGCTTCAGTATCCACCTTATCTTTTATGTAAGTGCGCAAATTCCGTTGTGTCATTCACTTCCAGTTATTTCAGCTATACAAAAACAATCCGTTATGCTGCTTGATAGTGCAAACTGGTATTTCTTTTCATATTATTTTGACATAATATGTACTTTGTTATTCTTTTAGTTATTTACCAGTAGCGGCTACTCAGAAGTCTGGCACTTTCAAAGAAAATAGCTCACTTCTGTTTTTTTTTGTTTTTTTTAACCTGACAACATTTCACCAATCAAGTCTTGTGTTTTCAATCAGCTGTTATGAATCAGACGATGCCAGATTCGAAAATGAATCATTTTTTATCTAATCCGTAAAACTGTTTGAAATGGTTTGTGAGTCAATTCGATTCATTCAGACAGTTCACTCACGCACTGAATCATTTGCAGCGGTTTCTCACATCGAAATAACTGGATACCTTAGAAAACAGAAAGCATAAAGATCACTGGGCGAGGTGAATATCTACCTACGATCCATTAGAGGAACCAAAGCTCAGAACCCAGATAGCTTGGGTACGTCTGCAAGATGTCTGTTAAAGATCGCTTGATCTGGAAAGCATCTGCTGTGTACAAACATCTCATAGACGTCTTTAAGGTGTCCCTGATAGCGTACATGCATCTCGGAGACGTCTATTTGACGTCTGCAAGACGTATTTTTTAGAGTGTTTGCTCATCTGCAGTACGTCTATAGGACGTTTCCTTTTAGATGTCAAATAGACGTCTATTAGATGTCTTTAAGATGTTTATGATTTAGAATGTATGTAAAACTGACATCTGAAAGACGTCTGTCAGATGTTTGAACACAGCAGATGCTTTCCAGATCAAGAGATCTTTAACAGACATCTTGCAGACGTACGTGTGCTCTCTGGGGTCAGTTTTACATTCATTCTAAATCATAAACATCTTGAAGACATCTTCTAAAGGTCTATTCGACATCTGATAGGAAACGTCCTATAGACGTATTGCAGATGAGCAAACACTTTAAAAAAAAAACGTCTTGTAGACGTCAAATAGACGTCTCTGTGATGTACGTGTGCTCTCAGGGAAATGTCAGCGATGAAGCATCTTTATTGCACATGCACAGCTTGTGAACGACCCTTCTGCAGGTAAAGACATAGTACACTATGTGAAGCGAGTGATTCCAGAAGCTCCAGTGATCTGAAAATGAGGTAAACACTTCACATCTGCGCAGCACCACAACAAAGCGTCACCCTGACCAGCTTCTTGAGTGGCGTGTAACAGGATGGAACAGAACTGCAGTTTGATAATGTGTTTGTCAAATTTTCAGATCTTTCAAGTGGGTTTAACACCCTGAACCCTTATCGTTAAAGTTTCATAGAGAAACCAGTTTATTTTTTCCTTTAAGATCTGCTTTTACTTTCGCCTTTTTTGTCTGTTTGTCATGCATTTAAGTTGAGAGTGAACGTGTTCTCAGACGTTCGTGAGTGTTTAGTCTCAAACAGGAAGTTGAATGTTGTTTGAAGCTGATGTGGAAGAGGAAGGCCTAAATTACAAATAAAGCACATAATGAAGCTGTGAATATGGTATTGAGCTAATGAAGTAATTACTGTGATGGTGAAATGCTGTGGGATTTTTAAAGTAGATGTTAAAATGCGGTTATTATTGCATCATATTTCCCCCCAAAAAACTGTAATCCCACAGTTTTAGTGCTGTCATTGAAAGCTTGCCCCCTAGCGCTGCAATTCACATCAATCAATAAATAAATAATGCACATGACAAATTAATTAATTTACGCAAAAACGATTCCTTGTCTTTTTTGAAAAGTTTCGCATATAGACGAGAACGTCCCTGATAGTCTATTTGACGTCTGCAAGACGTATTTTTTTATTTGTTCGCTCATCTGCGATACGTCTATGGGACGTTTCCTATCAGACGTTTAGAAGATGTCTTTAAGATGTTTATGATTTAGAATGCACGTAAAACTGACATCTTAAAGATGTCTATGAGATGTTTGTAGACAGCAGATGCTTTCCAGATCAAGCGATCTTTAACAGACATCTTGCAGACGCACGTGTGCCGTCTGGGGTTTTCAAAACGAGCCCTGTTTACCCCACTTTCGTTTATTTAGGTATGTAAACAATTTATATTGGCACAAAAGCACTCCATGATTTTGTAGTCTCAATATTGTTAGCCAGATAAAATGAGTACAATTCACGTTGTTTTTGATACAGTTAATGTGTTCAGAGTTCACAGACCTTGGATTGAATATCAGGTGTGAGTTATTGAGGAGAGTCTCAGTTTGACTCACATCCGTTTGAATTGAAACGCGAATGATTGACATTTAAGAGCTGTCGGCATGAGAGTTATGCAGTCGTTCAGCCGCTGCAGTGCCATCATGATCTGACCCACTTTCACCCTCATCTGATGATTAGAGCTGCGGCTTCAGACACAGACTGAACGCACATGCTTCTTACAGACACTTCAGCTTCATATTTCTTAAAGGAGCGTTTGTGCCCTGCGTGCGTCTGTATGAGTGTGTGGTTGTGATTATATTAGACGATCTTATTTACACCCTGAGAAATGCACTGTAGAAGAGAACAGACGTGACAGACATTTGAGTCGTTTTTCAGTGTTTGATCGTGTGTCTGTACTGTGAAACGGTGCAGGAGTTTGCTGTATTCTTGAGGGCCACATTTCTGAAATTCTTTTAACAATATACAAAATCTCTTAAAATGCTAGAAGTCTTAAAATATTAGATGTTTTATTTTTTTATTGCTGGTGTTTTGTATTACTTTTGTTGCATTATGATGCTTAAAACAGTATTTTTGTGTTATGAGGATTTCATTTATTCATTTGTTTGTCTTTGACATGAAGATTGGTATTACATTTGTTGCATTAACAGTATTTTATTGTTTTATGATGATTGTATTTACCTGTTTACTATATTTAATATTTATTATTCATGATATAAATTGTATTATTCCACATTTTTATTTGTTTCTTATTTGATTCATTGCTTAATTTCTGACATGATTTTTTGCATTACTTTTGTTGCATTATTTTTAATGTGTTATGATTTTATTTTATTCTATTTAATATATTTTATTTAATATTTCTATGTAATATTTATTATAATATATTTATAATATACATTGTATTTAAAATATTTATTTATATTTTAAGTTTTTTGCTTACTTTCTGTGATGATGTTTGGTATTACTTTTGTTGCATAATGATATTTCACATAATATTTAGATTTTATTATACTTTTCTGTACTTTTTTGAATAATTTGCATGTTGTTGACAGCATGCAAGTGTCCCGTACTTCAGAGTTCAAGTCAAATCAAATAGCCAATGTATGTTTAATGTTTGTGTGTTTTTGTGTGTGTGTTTAAGGCTCCGGAGTGCAGTGTCGTGGGTCTCGGTGAGAAGCTGCTGTTATTCAGACATGAGCCGAACACAGAGCAGATCTTACAGAGACTAACTGAAAAACACGACATACGGGTCACACTCACACTCACACTCACACTCACACTCACACTCACACTCACACTCACACTCACACTCACACTCACACTCACACTCACACTCACACTCACACTCACACTCACACTCACACTCACACTCACACTCACACTCACACTCACACTCACACTCACACTCACACTCACACTCACACTCACACTCACACTCACTCACACTCACACACGCACACACACACACCATCCGGTCACTGCTCGCATCATTTATCACTGCAGATGATGTTGACAGCTGTCAGTCATGTTGATTCCTCTAGGAGCGGCTTCAGTGACCGAGACAAAGTACCGTCCACATTCTCTGGTTGTCCATTCGTATCGCACACCTACGTTTTGTCACTACTGCGGTGAGATGTTATGGGGACTCGTCCGACAGGGCCTGAAATGTGAAGGTATGACTACGTAAAGACAAAACCAATGCACACACATCAATAGCAAAAAATGCTCAAAAGTGGGTGCTTGACAAAAAAAAAATCATAAAAAACAAACAAAAGTTAATGCACCATAGGCTCCAAAGTCTGATGAAGAGCCTGTGAGCTCGAAACATAACCTTGTGTGAAGTCCATTATTAAATTGTTTTGCATCTTTGGAGCCAATGGTGTGCCGACTTCTGTTTGTTTGTTAAGGTACGACCACGTGAAATACTTCAAATGCAGTAAGATGAAGTCTTATATAAAATCCTTGTTTTATTTAATTGGTAAATTGCTTTTGTTTGTGTATCACTTAATATTTATATTATTATGATATTGATGTTTCTTATGAAATATTCATAATGTCAATAATATATTTTTTATGAATATTTATTATTTTATTTTATTTATTTTTGCTTCGTTTTTATGCCATGATGTTTGGTTTTCCTTTTGTTGCATGATCTGGTTTAAAACAGTATATTTGTTGTGTTATGAAGAGTTTATCTATTTATACATTCTAATATTTGTATTTAATGTTTATTAATATCAATTATATGTATTAAAATGTTATTTAATGTTTTTGCTTAGTTTTAGTTATATTAATAATTATATTATTTATAAATATATATTTACATGTATTAGATTGTTTTGCTTAGTTTCTGCATTGTTGTTAATGTTTAGTTGTATTTATTAATTGCTTATTTATTTGTTTATTGCTTAAAATATTTATTGAACTGAATAGTTGCATTTTATTTTATTGCTTAATTATTTATTTATTACTCAGTATATTTATTTATTATAATTTTTATATTTATTATTGTAATATAAATGTGTACTGTATATTTAAAATAGATTTTATGTATAAACATTCATGTAAATGCCATCTATGTTTAGTTTGACTTTTGGTGCATTACGCTGTTTAACACTGAAATGTGCAGCACTTAACATGCATTAAAACAAAGACTTATACAGAATATTTACGTTTTGTTTTATTGCTTAATTGCTCATTTTTTATATTTATTATCATTTTTAGATGTATTATATTATTTATAAATATTTATGTATTGAAAACATATTGCATTTTTTGCTTAGTTTCTATGGCATTTGTGTTGCATTATGTTGTTTAATGTCTTAAGAGTGTTGCGAAAAGTGAAGCGTTTGAGAGTTTTTCTTTGACTTGCTCTCTGCAGGCTGCGGTCTGGATTTCCACAAGCGCTGTGCGTTTAAGTTGCCCAACGACTGCTCTCGCGTGTTTCGCCGCTGCGGCCCGAGTCTGTCTCTGTTTCCTCCGGGACGCCCGAGGACTCCGTCGCTCTCCAGTCACACGGGCGGGAGTCTGGAGGAGGTGACGATCCGAACCGACGCTCACGTTTCTGCGAGGTGTTTGAAATGCTCCCTGAAAACCTTTGTTTTGTCCCTCAGATCAGCATGTCGAAGCCGTCGCGCTCACGCTCGCGCCCGCCGTCCTGGGCCGACGTGCCGGTGTCTGTGGGGCTGTCGGATGGGAAGGAGGCCCGGCCTCGCGTCCCGCACACCTTCCACATTCACACCTACACCAAACCCACGGTCTGCCAGTACTGCTTCCGGCTGCTCAAGGGCCTCTTCAGACAGGGCATGCAGTGCTCCGGTGAGAGATCACCTCAAAAAGAAAAATCACAAAGAAAGCCTCTTTGGAAACATTTTTAGTAGAAAGATCCAAGGCCAAATTGATCCTGAGAAAGTTATTAAAACACGCCCTGAACCAAAAGGACCACACCCCTATCTTGTTAGCCCCGCCCCCAAATGCATGAACATTCTATGCAACAGGCCCCTCCCCCATCATGAGTTGACACGCCCCTTACTGCTGATTGGCTACAGGTGTGTTCTGGTGCTCTTTCAACAGCGCTTCTCAGAAAGAGCAGTAACATCTTCCTTTCTCTCTGCGTTTCTCTCCAGACTGTAGGTTTAATTGTCATCGCAGGTGTGTGACTCTCGTTCCTCCTGACTGCAGGGGTGAGAAAGCAAACGGAGAAGGTCAGTTTGGGATAAAAACATTTCTAGGTCACATTTCACCCCAAATCAAAGGAGGAAAATCTAAATTATCATAAAGAATTTGCATCCCACTTGTAGGACTTTTTGCATTGTGATAATATTGTTTGACATTTAAATAAAACCTTTATGTTTTAGTTTATGAGTCCACCACTATAGAGACATCAGCATAAATTAAAGACAGTAAAAAAAAAAGATTTTTTTTTTTTTGCTTAGTTGCTTATTTATTATGTAGTATTTATATTTATTATATTAATATTTTATTTATTTAAAATGTATTTGTATTAATATTTGATATATACACCGAATATTTACATTTTGTTTTATTGCCTAATTGCATGTTTATTTGTTTATTTATCATTTAATATTTATATGATATAAATTATGTGTTTGTATTATATATACAACATTTCCACCATGCTGATAAAATACTGGAAACCAGTATTGACATGTACATTTTGCATAAATTAAAGCATTCTCAGACATTAGGTTTACTTCCAACATGATCCAAATGTGAATGTGTTAAAAATAATTAAATGTATGCACTATCATTCAAAGTTTGGGGTCAGTAAGTTTTTTGAAGGAGAAATAACACTTTTATTAAGCAGCGATGGATTAAATTGATCAAAAGTGACAGTAAAGACATATATAATGTTTTATTGATTCCTGAAAAATAAAATGTATCATGGTTTCCACAAAAACATGAAGCAGCAACTGTTTTCAAATCAGCATATTAGAATGATTTCTGAAGATCGTGTGACACTGAAAATACAGCTTTGATCTCAGAAATAAATGACATTTGAAGAAATATTACAATAGAATACACTCATTTTAAATTGTAAAAATATTTCACAATATTACAGTCTTAACTGTATTTTTGATCAAATTAATGCAGCCTAGGTGAGCAGAATATAGCAGTTCAGAACAGTTTAAAATGCATAGATAAATATAAAAATGTTAAAAATATTTTTAGCATGTTAAACGTCCTGAGTCATGTTGTGTACGTCTCCATGTATGACAGCTGCTGTAAAACATTGTATGATCTGATTTGACTGTATATGATGTCTTTATTTGTGTGTTTTGTTGTGATCAAGCGAGTGTACTGTATTTTCAGAGTTTGATGACAGCGTGGCGGTGGTGTCAGTGAACGATCTTTATGAAGAGCTGCGATATAAAGACCCTCCGGCCGCAGAAGTGACGCCGCTGCAGCCGCCCAATGCGTAAGGATCCACATCCCACCTGATCAGCTGCAGACTGAGCTCAGATGTTCACGTCTCTCTCTCTCTCTCTCTGTGTGTGTGTGTGTGTGTGTGTGTGTCAGGCCGTGCTTCAGTGTTAATATCCCTCTGATGCGAGTGGTGCAGTCAGTCAAACACAGCAAGAGAAGGAACAGTGGAGTGCTGAAGAAAGGCTGGTTGATCCATCATACCAACACTGACACGCTGGTGACACACTCTTATTCAAATGCATAATTATTATTTATATTTTTTTATTTACTTAGTATGTATATATAAATACACTACCGGTCAAAAGTTTGGGATCAGAATGATTTTTAGTGTTTTTTACAGGAGTGTCTTCTGCTCATCAAGGCTGCATTATCAAAAATACAGGAAAAAATGTAATATTGTGAAATATTATTATGATGTAAAATAACATTTTTCTATTTTAATATACATTAAAATCTAATTTATTCCTGTGATCAGAGCTGTATTTTCAGCATCATTACTCCAGTCACAGAAATCAGTGTCACATGATCTTCAGAAATCATAATAATAAGCTGATTTATTATCAGTGCTGGAAACTGTTGCTGCTTCATATTTTTTGGGAAGCTGTGATACTTTTTTTCGGGATTCTTTGATGAAAAAAAGTTAAAAAGCACAGCATTTATTTAAAATAGAAATATTTTCTAACAATATACTCTAAAGTTCAAAAGTTGGGGGTCAGTAAACTTTTATTCTTTCTTTTTTTTTTGAAAGAAATGAAAACTTTTATTCAGCGATGATCTGTTAAATTGTTACGAAGTGATAGCAAAGATTTATATTGTTAGAAAAGATTTACATTTTGAATAAATGCTTTTTATTAATCAATATATATATATATATTTACAAGTGTTCTTATTATATATTATTATAAATATTTATATATGTTTTTCTTTGCAGAGAAAACGTCACTACTGGGTATTAGATGGGAAAAGTATCACCATGTACCCGAATGAAATCAGCAATAAGTACTATAAGGTTTGTAAGTCTTTATAATGCATCATGTCACCTTTAACGCTTCATAATGTGAAATAGAGCAACATTTGACGCACAGTTCATCTTAGGACTGTCATGAAGTTTTTAACATAGTTGTGTGTTCTTCATTTCAGGAGATTTCTCTCTCAGAGGTGCTGCAGGTTCGAGGCTCGGCTCAGCTCACTATTCCAGTGTTGCCAGGCAACAGCGCACACTCGTTCGAGCTGGTGACGGGATCTCTGGTGTACTGTGTGTTTGCGGATCAGGACGGCCCGTCATGGGAGTCGGCTCTCGATCAGGCCCTCAGCTGCTGTAAAACATTGTATGATCTGATTTGACTGTATATGATGTCTTTATTTGTGTGTTTTGTTGTGATCAAGCGAGTGTACTGTATTTTCAGAGTTTGATGACAGCGTGGCGGTGGTGTCAGTGAACGATCTTTATGAAGAGCTGCGATATAAAGACCCTCCGGCCGCAGAAGTGACGCCGCTGCAGCCGCCCAATGCGTAAGGATCCACATCCCACCTGATCAGCTGCAGACTGAGCTCAGATGTTCACGTCTCTCTCTCTCTCTCTCTGTGTGTGTGTGTGTGTGTGTGTGTCAGGCCGTGCTTCAGTGTTAATATCCCTCTGATGCGAGTGGTGCAGTCAGTCAAACACAGCAAGAGAAGGAACAGTGGAGTGCTGAAGAAAGGCTGGTTGATCCATCATACCAACACTGACACGCTGGTGACACACTCTTATTCAAATGCATAATTATTATTTATATTTTTTTATTTACTTAGTATGTATATATAAATACACTACCGGTCAAAAGTTTGGGATTAGAATGATTTTTAGTGTTTTTTACAGGAGTGTCTTCTGCTCATCAAGGCTGCATTATCAAAAATACAGGAAAAAATGTAATATTGTGAAATATTATTATGATGTAAAATAACATTTTTCTATTTTAATATACATTAAAATCTAATTTATTCCTGTGATCAGAGCTGTATTTTCAGCATCATTACTCCAGTCACAGAAATCAGTGTCACATGATCTTCAGAAATCATAATAATAAGCTGATTTATTATCAGTGCTGGAAACTGTTGCTGCTTCATATTTTTTGGGAAGCTGTGATACTTTTTTTCGGGATTCTTTGATGAAAAAAAGTTAAAAAGCACAGCATTTATTTAAAATAGAAATATTTTCTAACAATATACTCTAAAGTTCAAAAGTTGGGGGTCAGTAAACTTTTATTCTTTCTTTTTTTTTTGAAAGAAATGAAAACTTTTATTCAGCGATGATCTGTTAAATTGTTACGAAGTGATAGCAAAGATTTATATTGTTAGAAAAGATTTACATTTTGAATAAATGCTTTTTATTAATCAAAGAATCCTGAAAAAAGTATCACAGTTTCCAAAAATATATTTGGCAGCACAACTGTTGATAATTCTGATAATAAATCAGCATATTATTATGATTTCTGAAGGATCATGTGACACTTTATACTGGAGTAATGGCTGATGGAAATTCAGCATTGCATCACAGAAATAAATTATATTTTAAACAATATTAAAATATAAACCATTATTTTATATTGTAATAACATTTTGCAAGATTACTGTTTTTTTCTGTATTTTTGATCAAATAAATGCAGCCTTGATGAGCAGAAGAGACTTCTTTAAAAACATTACAAGTCTGATCCCACACTTTTGACTGGTAGTGTATATATATAAATACATATTTTATTATATATTTTACTATTTTATATATATATATATATATATATATATATATATATATATATATATATATATATATATATATATATATATATATA